ATATTTTTGAAAGACAAAATTAAGAGGCAAGGGACAGGAGAAAGTGCTAAAGCAATTGTTTCTACCTGTTTTTGAATCCTATCCCTGGCCACCAAAATGCACCACAGTCATATGATTACACTGAAGTTTGAAGATAACCCTGGGTAACTCTCAGGGCCCTCATTCTTTGATCAAATGAGCTCCTGGGGTCCTGGATATAATTCAGAATTTTTGCTCATGTGTACTCAAAGTGATGTTGCAAATATGTTCAAAACCTCTGCAGCTCTGTGAAAAATATCACCTTCGTTCCCTCCCTTTGTTGGTAACACAATGACCAAGTGGACGTGGCAGTTAAGAGGAGCAGGATGGGAACTCTGTGTGATATTTTCAACTACTATTCAAACACTCCCTCTCTTTATAACATCTTATTTCCTTAGTCCTAGCTGGTCTGTGAATCTGTGCTTATCTACATGACTGCCTAATAAGCAGATAACCAGTGGGAACACACACACACACACACACACACTCACACACACACACACACACACACACACACACACAATGCCTGGAGAAGCATGGCACACTCTGGAGAAAATCAAGAAATTTTATCTGTTTCATCGGAAATATAATCAAAGTGGGAAAATGTCAAATGTCTTCATATGCATCTGCCACAGGCAGTTACTCGCCCTAGGTATGCATAGAGGGCATGCTCTGCAAGGACAAACACATACACATACACAGTTAGACACAACTCTAATTGAATTGAGGCCCAAGGCCTAGGACCCTCGCTAATTTACAAGGATGCTCTAGGAAAGACACATTTTTAGGAATGACAGTAAATCTATGCATATAATGTATTCCCACCCTACAAGAGTCAACCCAAGATTGACAATTTGGGGGGTTTTGCTGGTTATTCATTCGTTTGTTTGTTTGTTTGTTTTCCCCGCTCAGAAGGTATGTTTCCATGGCACCCTGTCAAAAACTTTCTCAGCAGTCAAGGAGAGGATAGCCACACAGCTGCCTTTTAGCCAACTTTGTGTATCCTACTAGGAAACCACCCCATTCTGTAAGACGATGAGGTTTTCAGACATGTCTAAACAGACTAGGTGAATTAAAGACCAATTCCAGACTTGATGTTGCTGAGCTCATCAGCTCCATCTTGCCATCCTGATTGATCGAGGAGATGGGTCTATAGTTAAAGTGGCATAGCACTTTGAGGGGTTAGTCATTAGAGCCCATTGCTTTGTCTTGGGAAGATAACTTCTTGCTTGGCTAGATTATGGAAGCTAAGGAGTGACGTCAAGATGTTGTCTGGCCAGAATTTGCAGATAACCATAGAACTCTTCTCCTCCATCAGGCATGGATTTAGCCTCCTTTAGTTCCTGCAGTGACACAGGAGCCTCCAAATACCAAATTATTATCAGGCGATCTTGGGGGAACCTCTGGGCCCTGCAATAAAGTAGACAGACTTGCTATTGGAAAGTGCTCGGGAGCAATTCATCCCTGTTCAGATTGCTCTAAAATCCTGCAAATCATCTCTGGACTTGGTAAATGAAAACTGTCACATAACTCCAGATAGTTGTTGTAAAAGTACTTCGGGGATATAATTTATCATCATCTTTCATTAATCTTATGCATCATTTAAAGAAGTCCAGTTTGATCATATCTTTTGCTTGCTTATTATTTTGTTTGTAATGCAAAGCTATGCAAGTATTGAGGCTGTATTACTTTCAACAAGCCACTTCTGAACACCATCTCTAAATGATGTTTATATTACTGATCTTTAAGAATCACAAAAGATAGTGAAAAATTGACCAAACCTGACTCACACTGATGTATTCATATTATCCCACCTGCAGTTTTAAACCTTCAACCATTTAAATAAAACAATAAATACCTGCTCTCTATGGGGAAAATGGAGTATTTGATACTCTTAGGCCTGGGCTCCACACAGCCTCCACTATTCCACTATTTCTAATCTAGCCTCATTCTCACATTAACCTGCTAGGTCCCTATAAGTAATCGAGTTTCTCAAACCTGGCCTGTCTTAGTGCCTGTCACACGATATATTGTGATTATACCATGATATAACTACTGGACCTCTACAGTGACATTCCCTGAGGACAGAGAATAAGCCATCATTAATGACTGAATCTCTAGTTCCTAATAGTATGAAAGTATTATAGGTAATCAATAGCTATTTATCCAATGGAAATTCAGCATCTATATTAGATTCTTATAATTCAGTGAAACGAGCCAGAGATCATAAAGCATATGCTGGAGATCAGGCATATATTCTAAAGTCAATATATTTGAATTACTTATAGCTTTGGGAAAGAGATGTAAATTGCTAGTTTGTGGCCCAAACCTCTGATAGATCAAGAAGGATGAAGGTTATATACTATCCACATGACATGAAAAAGGTTCTAAACTGTCTCTTGATATCTTTTTTCAGATATCATCTATGCAACTTCTTGGAAGAGTCTCTCTTGAGAGTTATTTAGAAGTTAACTAATTTAACATATTCAATAAGAATCACCTAACTGAAAGCTAAACTCTCAAAATTTCATGGACCAATAGCAACAGATCCCTCTGCATTACCAGTCTATGCATTTTACAATGTTTTAATTTCTGGATGACTATGAGCATATGTACAGAAAGAATTCTTTTTGTTAAAAGTTGATTTCTGCTAAAAAAAAGTTCTCTAAATCAGTTTAAATCGGGTGATGCATTGTTAAAAGCATATCTAATAAATAAACTACTGTGTGGGGATGTTTGTTAGGAATAAAGCCAATGGAAAGGGCTATGAGTCATGTTTACTTGTTACAAGTTGGCTAGTAATTAGTATTGGAGTACTGGATTGCCACCTCTGGTCAACATCTGGCCACAATCAAAGGCACAGAATGTTACATGCTATGAAAGAATGCTTCCACAGATAAAGTAGCTGCTTTCCATAAGCTTACAGACTAACCCATGCAACACTACAAAAACACGTGCACAAGGTGGTCCTCCTCAGAACAATAGGCAACAAGTACACTGAAGATAAATGAAAAAAAAAAAAAGGAAAGAGTAAAGAATGACATTTATGGAAGGGTAAAAGGAAAAGGAGAAAGGTAAATTTCTTCTTCATTCCTACCTCTTTGAAAAGAATTCATGAGATATATATATATATATATATATATATATAAATTATAAATTTCTTCTGGTATCAGATAAGAAGTAATGAGAATACTAAGCCAGGAAGGGTTGGTTGGGTCAGGGACCCAAGAAGACATTGTAAAGAAGAAACTTCCTTTTAGGATTTCTAAAGGAAGAAAGCACCTCTGGTGGGACCACAGAGTCAGCAGCCATCTCGCCCCCTTTCCTCCTGGGAATCTCGCCTGCTACTTTATTTGCTTTCTTACTTTCTTGCTAATACATTAATTTTCTCTTATTGAACGTGTTGGAATGATGGTATCTACTTGATTATTTAGCATTATCTTTCCTCCAATGAAAATGAGAGCAAACTTTGTGAGGACATGTTAATTTTAGTTAACCTCAGTTGCAATACAGCTTCCGGCTAATTGAAGGACATCACATAGTCTGTTCCTGGCTGTGACAGGGGCATCATAATACTCTAGTCCTAGGGAGAACAATCAAAATCATAAGAGATTCTCCCATCAAAGCATTGTTCTTTGTCTTCTTCCATATTTGCTATTAAGTATGCAGGACATTTCAAGGACATTTGGAGGATGCTTACATCATCAAAGAATGCTTACTTTAAGCAATGCTTCCACTCACCTTGATCACACCATAATGACAATATTAGGATTAATAACAACTTGATTTCAAATAATACCTTCAAGTTCAAGGAGCTCAATATTCTTGACACAGTTTTATGTTTGTCTTGTAATTAGAAATTTAGCTAAAAACTACGATAGGACCTAGTATCATACATTACAAGCATTTAATGCTATTCTTTCTAACCCGGAATCCAATTTTAAATATACCGTGGGATAAATGTGAATGAATAGGAAGAAAATACATGTGCATCCATATATACACACATATTTAGGATTTGTTGCCAAATGTCTTCATCCCATGAGGGTTTTCAGCACAAAGTCAGTCCCAAAGCCTACTTTACAATGCTCCCACTTTACCTTGGAGGCAGGGCAGAAAAGTGACATTTAAGACAGAATAAGGATATTCAAATAGAAGATACCCATTCAGTGTCATTGAATCTCTGGGATCTGGGCCATCCAATCCCTTGTGGTTCCTTGTGGACCCTTGATAGTGTATGAAGAAGGCCTGCAGTTATAATGGAAAAAAGCCTGTTTTTCCACTGTGGTGTTATTTATGTTTTTGTTGTTGTCCTTAAAGCTGTGTTCCTGCCTTATTTTACTTTATATTTGGCCAGTGGCTCAGAAGATAGGATAAGGGGCTCTGAAAAAATCCCAAGTTTGCCAATGGAGGGTAATGGGTTAATCTAGCTCTGAAAAATAAAAGTCAGCCTACTTCACATGCATATCATCTGCTGCCATGTCTCTTTCCTTTCATGGCATCACAAAAGGCCTCATGCTGGAAACTAGTACTGAACAAAGAATACACAATGACCCAAATTGATACCACCTGTGTGCAGCACAGTACTGCCCCAACTACCTCGTGTGCACGTTTTAATTACTTTCAATAAGCCAGATTTAAATTACATCAATTACCTGTTATAACTGAAATGTGTGCATTCTAATGATACTTCTGGTTTCTGTCTCTATCCCTTTCAAGATAAGCATGCCTCGATTCCAACTTCATATTGACAAATGGTTTTGGAAAATGGATCCCAAGAGAAGTTGTTATCTACCCACTGTTCCAGCAAGAGACACACCTTAGGAATTCTGTAGCCAACAAACTAAAGGATCTAGTCCACAGGCCAAAGTCTGTAAGAATCCTGACATTTCACTGGCCCCACCCCTCCATCTGCGTTATCGGGAACTCTGATAAACACACTTCTTGCAAATAGGCCAATAAGTACAAACAGCTGTACTTACATGTGTCTGGCTTGAGCTGACTGTTGGTGATGCCAAAGTACTGGGGATTTTCAATGACAGGGATCTTGGTCATTCCAATAATGACGGCATCAGGGCCACCTTCTGAAGAGGATGGAGTGTTACTCCCATTGGAGATGTGATGGAGGGGGCTGGCAGAGTCATCATCATTGCTGATAACTGAAGCTGGGCCTGGAGTTGGAAAGACAGACATATTGTCCTGTAATTCAATGACTTCAATGGAGCAATAATTCATAAACATTCAATATCCATTTCAAGTTCACAGAGTTGTACAATCATTACTATAATCTAATTGGGGGACATTTTCATCACCCTAATTAGCCCTTTCCCCCTATTCTCCCATTCCCAGTCCTAGGCATATACAAATTTACTTTCCATCTCTGGATTTACATACTTTGACATTTCATGTAAATGAGATCTTTTGTATCTGACTTCTCTTATGTAGTGTACCACTTTTTAAAATAAGAGAATGGGGATATCTGAAGTCTTTATGTCATTTCTTTCCTTATTTTGTTTTTCTGGCTTTTTGTTTTCTGTGGTGCTGGGGATGAAACCCAGAGCATCATTGAGCATGGTAGGCAAGTGCTCTACTACTGAGCCATATCCCCAGTCCCTGGAACCCAGAGTCTTGAGCATGCTAGGAAAGTACTCTGACACTGAGCTATATTCCAGCCCTAGTATAACATTTTTTAAGATTCATCCACAGTTTAGTGTGTCAGTACTTCCTTCCTTTTTATTGCTGAGTAATATTCCATTTTATAAAAAAAGTTTTTTTATCCATCCATCCATAAAAGGACATTTGAGCTATTTGGATTATTTAGCTATCAGGAATAGTGCTGCTATCAACATCATGTGATAATTTGTGTTGGACACATGTTTTTATTTCTCTTGAGTAGAACTGGTTGGTCATATGGCAGCTCTATGTTTAACATTTGGAAGAACTACCAAAATGTTTTTCAAAGTGGCTGTGCCATTTTATGTTCCCACTATCAGTGTATGAGGGTTTCAATTTCTTCACTTCCTTTTCCTGTAATTCAGTATGCAGCTTTTCTCTGTTCTGTGAGTATCTTCAGAATACTCTATTACTGAAACTCCCAGTGAGAAGCCACGATTCACTTCACATGTCACTGAAAGTTGTGCTGGGAGTTTGAATATCTGAGTTTCCCATCTCTACTCCTTGAACTAGTCACCTACCTTCTTTGTGCATCTGTTTACACTTGTGGAGTCTGCAAAATAATATCTGCTGCATTTTATGATACTACACTGAGACTAATGACATGGAAATGCATTATAAATTTGAACATGCTCCATTAGTATGAATTAATATTTGGTATTCGTAAGTAAACTTTAACTGGAAGACTAGAATTGCATTGGACTATCTTACCATTAAGTTCCTTTTGCCTTTATATTCTGTGAGTGCCTGCATCATTTTACTGTACAAAATACGTCGATAATAATAATGGATCAATCCCATGGTGAAGTTATCTACTTTGCCTTTAGTTTTAAGATTATTCATAATTACTTGGATGCCCATTGTTTTAAAGAGATAATCATAGGATTTTTCATAGAAGACTTAAACTTTTAGTCTAAAACCTCAGGATATATATGTATTCTACTATATCTTGTCTAAACAATTTATCCATTGATCAGTAAACTCAAACTGGTTGCAACCAAAAATAGATTCTCAGAGATAAAGGTCAATGTGAAGTCTTCAAAACAGTTACAATCATTCATGATAGGTACTCCATAGGTAGGAAGGAGACAAAGCCTCTTAGACATAAATTGCACACAGTCTGATGTGTACAAAATGAGTCTAATGTCTTGTGGAAGCAGAGCACTGGCCACAGATACTGACATAAGCCCCAAGAAAGGAGGAGAGCAAAGAGAAGCAAAATCAAATACCCAGCTAAGGCAAATGCCACATTCAGGAAGAGAAAGTCTGAATTACTATTTGCTATTTAAGAAAATGTGTTTCAACCAAACCTGCCCCCACTCCCACCCCCCAGGATGCACCTTCCTGTATGCTCTACCTTTTCCTTCACACATAATTATTCCAGTGAAAAGCTTAGCTGTTCTAAAAACAAACATTGTTTTGTCAGGGGCTTTGGTACAGTTTTGAATCCCCTATGCAATATAATGATAATCCATCCCACAACCTCCAAGATCTGTGTTTCCTCCTCATAGGGGGATTATCACAGTTTGTAGTGATAACAATTGGACATTCCCCAGCTAGTTAGGTCTTAAACAAACTATGCAGGAGGAAGCCAACTGCTATTATAGGTAATTTTTAAAGTATTCTCTCAATGGGATGTGCATTTAAGTTGCCTTTAATGATATACTCTGGCTTAATTCTGCAAACAAGTCCTCACCCAGCCAATTTAGAAGGCACAGAACAATCAAAGCCAAGGCAAGCCCACATGTTGTGCTCATCTTGTGCCTTGCTCACCTAAGTCAGCAAAGAGCAAGAATCCTGCCAAGAATAGCTATAAAGACAAGTTGTTTCTAACCTCCCCGACCATCCCTGTTTTAAGGTCTGCTTTCTAACAGGCCTCAATCATCCAGATTCTAGCTGGCAAGGAGAAATGGAGATGCATTTGGCTAATGTTTCTGCATGCTGTCCATAAAACCTTCCTGCCACCCGTTCCCTCGCTTACTCCCCAGAGTAGCTGTTCCCTTCTGTAAGGTTACCAAAGCATGCAACTCAGGGAGCTCCCACAGAGGAGTTGCAGTCAAGACTGCACATTTCTCAACAGATTCCTGGTTTCACCTTTACCCTTAGAAATGCAGGAGTGGTCATTTTCAAAAAATGTCACAGGTTGTCAGAAGGCCAGCAATATTTCCTGTTGGAGCCCCAACAGTGATTAAAAATATATTGACCCCAGTTGATTTCTTCTCTGATTCTCCTCTGGCCCAGGTCAGGATATGAACATTATAGTAGCTTTCAATCATTTTTCGAGGAGGTTAATACCTAGAAGACAATTTTGAAATTCCTTCAGGAATTCAGGCTCTGAATTACCTGCAAATACAGAGTGAAGCCCTCACCTGAGTCCAAACAAGGGACTTGCTCTCTGCTTCACTTCCTCCATTCAAGGACACATCTCTGACCTTTCCAATTAAAACCCCCCAACTCAACTCATGTAATATATTGCAAGGGAATGGCCTCTAGTTTGGGGGTGGGGATTAAGCAATTAAACATAGAAGTGGTATAAAACATCAAGGTAATTTTTCAAAAGCCTTTTCACTTTGCAGAAAGTCAGTGTTGACAAATCAGAGCAACACAAACCTCAGCCATTCATCAAGTAACATATTAATTCAAGTGCCGTTTCCTTCATTATTGATGTTCCGAAACCTGGAGATTGATTTGGCTGGCAAGGTTGCAAGAATTAAGCCCATTTTTCTATGAACATTTTGAAATAATGGAATGCAGAGCACAGCAAAGTTGGGAGGGGGAAAAAGCTCTCCGTGGGGACAATGAATGTCTATATAATTTGACAGCAGCCTGTCTGTGCATATCACAGGATGTGTCTTTGTGTGTCTGTGCATGTATTTGAGCAGACACCAAGAAAAGTCAGAAGAGTCAGAGGCACATCACAGCATGTTACAAAAAATTCATAGGAGAACTTGAAAAAAAAGTCTTATAATATTAATATAAAGTTTTAAATTGCTGGGTATGTGCATACTTGAGTTTGGAGTAGATAGTTCTAATGACTGAGCTGACAAATATGAGTTACACCTGGAAACATTTTTAAGCCCATTTTTTTAATACATCTTAGGTGCAAAGAAGCATTTTTTTTTCTCTTATCTGAGATGCTTGGTAATGTATCCTTCACATGTGACTTTTCAGATATTTCTAATCCTAATATAAACTTATTTTCCAATGATAAAATTAAAGAAATGTCAGCGCAGCCTGGTGACCCGGGGAGAGGCCCGCCCCATGCCCACGTGGAGAGAGAAAGGCACCCGTGCTGGGGTTCCTTCTTCACCAAAGTGTGGCTCCACAACCAACATCAGGGTTCAAAGAGGCTTGAGACTGCCGCTGCCACAAAACTGGGATATCGCCACTTCTATTAAGGGACAAAAATAAGGACCTGGTAAGATATCACCAAGGTCCCTGTGAGCCTGGCTGCACCAGAGGTATCTCTATGAGGGGTGCTTACAGTTACTCTGTTGCTGAGGTAACAGGGAGTCTTGCATGGGGTTGCCTCTCTCTTGTTTCTCCTACTAACAGCCAACTTTTATGATTACCCTTTCACTAGTCATATAATCTAATACCTCTATAATCTCACATCCTACCTCATAAACATCTCAGCCAACCCCCACCCCCTCTTTCTACCATTAGAAACTGTAAACAATTACACAAACCTATTGACTATATGGTAGAAGATAACTAAACTCATCATTTCTGATTATAGTGACAAAACTGTTAATGTAAAAATAGAAGCTAAACTGATATATGTCTGCATGTTGGGTACATTGAGTGCTGTCATATTGATCTCCCCTTTAAAGGTGAGTTATTGGTAACCTATAGAGACACTATAAGACAAGAGGGCAGAAGTTCTAATACCTCAGATCTACACTGCAAGAGAGGAAGACACATAGTCATTATAAAAAAAAACAAGGGAGGAATATGCCCCAAACAAACCAAGATACTACAATAATAGAATCCATAGATAGTGCAATAGATGAAATGTCAGAGGAGTTCAGAATAAACATAACTAAAATAATATGGAAATTAAAGGATGACCTAAGTAAGAAGATACAGGCAAAAATAGATCACTCCAAAGAAGAAATAAGAGAACAAATACAGGTTGCAAGAGATTACTTCAAGAAAGAGATAGAGATTCTGAAAACAAACAAACAAACAAACAGAAATCCTTGAAATGAAAGAAACAATAAGCCAAATAAAAAAGCTCAATAGAAAGCACCACCAACAGACTAGCTCACTTGGAAAACAGGACCTCAGAAAATGAAGACAAAATAAACATCTTGAAAATAAAGTTGACCTCACAGTGAAGATGGAAATAAACCATAAACAGAACATCCAAAAATTATGAAATACCATCAATGGACCAAATTTAAGATTTATTGGGATAGAAAAAGATTCAGACATTCAAACCAAAAGAAAACATAATCTTTTCAATGAAATAATATAACAAAATTTCCCAAGCATG